TTTCTAGGATGTCTATATTCTGGGTAATGCATACAGAAGGGGGTTAGTGTCCTGCCTCCCCATCACAAGAATGACAGTCCCTGAGACATATGGAGGGATTTGCAAAATGAATCCACAAACAATATCAGATTTAATCCTCCTGACAGGTGAGCAGAGGTGAGCACCAGTACTCCATCAGGGATGGAGGCATCCAACACTCCTTTTGTGAGTTATTTTTCCCCTCCACCTCTAGCTAAATGGAGCCTCGAGTGATCTGGTTAAGTAAATCCTGGGGTCTTGCTCAGAGTCAGGCCCACTGGTGGCAAGGGAGGTCAGAACCAGTGGCTCTGCTAAAGCCCTTGCCACGTGCCAGCCAGAGAGCACATCTTCATTTCATCTCTACTGTTTGTGTTAAAAACTTGGCTGCTATCTCCCATCCCCTTGACTTGCAAGCATCACCGCCATTCCTCAAAAATGACAGGAATGACCCACTCCCAGGTGCTGGGACAGTGAGACAGGAGGCATCGGATCTCCAAAGGCTGCATTGACTATCAGGGTGTGGTTCCAGGAAGCCCAGAGGTGGGCCTCCACCCACTATGAACCTTTTCCAGGATGGGCTATGTGAGCAACCACAGAGCATCCTTGTCTCTAGAAAGACTATTCTTATTCATCTCTTCCTATTTAGAGTTGATTCGGGTGCTCCGCATACATCGTGAAATTTCACAAAAGTTGGAATTAGGTGCTATAACTATGGGCATGGCAGATAAGGACACAGAGATGGAGAATACAGAGGTCACCCTGTTGTTTAAGTACCAGAGCCTGGATGTCAAATCAAGTCCTTCTGCTTTATCTCCCTCTTCCCCCAAGACTTGGGGTTCCCTGGGCCTAAGACAGTCTGTGGCAATTCTCTCAGGTGTGTGTGTGGGGGGGGGGTGTCATACTCTAGGTCACAGGGTCTGAGGCAGGATTCTAATTGCCTCAGTCCTTTGCTCCAAACCAGTGAAAACAACGGGAAAGCCCATTTCAGTGCAAACCCTCCACCCCTTGGTAGTGCACAATCCCCCAAGGTGGAGGCGCAAACCCCTGCAAAGAGATTCTAGACTGGACTGCTCTACCTTGGGTTGGAGGACAAAGTGAAGAAGACTGGGATGCTGGTGGGGAACATGTTTATTTACTCCAATCGGAGGAAGAGAATGCCTGGGTTCTTGGAGAGCTTTGCAAACATGTAAGGAAGTAAGCTTAGGATGTGGTAGCTGGGAGAGTGAGGGAGAAATTTTGGCTCAGAGCTGGAGCAGGGAGAATAGGGACAAATATTTCAGTGGCTTTGGCCAGAAGGATCCCAGCGCCTGCTCTCTTTTCTCCTGGGCGGAAGCCAATGCATAGGGCTGCTATAATGCGTGGCTTCCTTGGTTGGCACTTCTATTTGAGCAAGCCTTTCAAGATAGTAGGAGAAATATTTATGAGCAGCATAAGATAGGAAGCTGAAACTGCAATCATTTCTAAATGAAAATTATGTGACAGTTCATCAGTATTTAATGCTAACATTGGGTGATGCATGCATGAAGAATTTAGCAGCTATTCATCATCACCCTGTGTGTGGTTAGTCTCTGATACACTTTTTTTGGAATAGAATGGTGTTTTAATTTGAACATGAACCAGAGCTTCAGTTTGAGATATTAAATAAATGGGGATGCCAGAGGTGGATTTGTTTCTGTTGTTTTCGGTGTGTGTGTGTGTGTGTGTGTGTGTGTGTGTGTGTGTGTGTGTGTTGGTGGTGGTGGTGGAGGTGGAGGTGGTGGCAGTGGCAGTGGTGATGATGGGAATAGGCTCTGGCCTTGAAATCCAAGGTAATTGGGGCCTCCCTGCAGCCACAAAGCCTGCACCCCAAAAAGGAAACTGAGAACACGTGCTGGCTACCTGAAGGCTTTCCTTGCTCCTAGATACAGATCTGGAAGCTGAGGGCAGCAGCAGAGGAAGAGGGACTTGTTCAAGGTTACAACACAAAATAGGGGTAGAGCCAGAGCTATGGACCTTTAAGTGTGGACCGCCTAGAGTCTGGGGTGGAAGAGAGCTCAGAGCACAAGGTTAGGCCTAATATGAGAGAAAACGCACTCAGATGCTTCCATGTTGGTGACTCTCCCTCCCCACCTCCCCCATCCCCCCCACACACAATTTTGCTAGAGAGGAGCCGGTGGGACACACAAGGCCTTTCCTAGATGCCTCCTAGCGTCTAGCACCCAGAGCTGGGAGCTGGGTGTCAGGTGGTGAGTCTCCCCTGGTTGGAAAGCAGGTGGTGTGGTTCTGCTTTAGGCCTCACCGCCTCCTACCTTTCCTGGAAATGTGAATTTGGAGAGTCTCAACTCCTTTCCTGGGGTGGTGCGTGGGGGTGGGCTAGAGGAGAGACCAGAGGTGTACACCCCAGGGGGTTCAGCAAAGTCCTGTGGGGTCTGAAGCCCTGAGTTACTGTGCCGGAAGGGGCAGTGTGGGTCGGGAGATTTACAGAGCTCATCTCTGTGGGCATGATTCCGTGCTGTACTCCCCAAACTCCCCATTTTAAAAGAGAAAACTGGCAGAGAAGAGAGGTGATTCACCTTGGGAGCCACGGGTCTGTACTTCCCGTCCCCACCGCATTGTTCTGACAATACTCTTAGCCCGCCGTAGGTACCAAGGGCGGCAACCTGAGTCACCCCCACAGATCCCTCCCCACCTCCACAAAGGGAAGTCCCAGGAGAAGTCAGTGATCAGATAATTCACCGCAATCATCCCTGCACCCAGGCCTCTAATCCACTGGCTGGCTGCCCTCTGCTTCCTTCTGCCTGGACACGCGCCCCAGCCTCCTTCCCCTGCCTCCACCTGAGCGGTATGGAGACGGGACCCATTGCTCTCCATCCGCTTTCCCCGCAGCGCCGCGTCCCAAGGCGCCCCGAAGCTGGACCAGGCTTGGGCCAGAGAGCGCCAGGGCCAGGGTCCAGGAAGGGCACCT